TAAAGTTCTGATTTACTGTGTCTTCCAAAAGTATCATTTATATTTAGTTATACTTTATTGTGCTTCATTAGGATATTTTTTGTGACTAAAATGCATTACTGCATAATTGTAAAGGGAAATAAAATGTTTCTTTCCTTTTGAAAATTAAAAACAGCAAAAGAAGCAGCTTTTGATGTATTTATTCATCCTGGGTTGATGCTTGTTGCTGCAATTTACTGTCAAAGTGACTGTATGAGTTTCCCACTGGAGAAATCCGTCTTGAATAAAGGGGTGGTTCTGCCACATGGCACCCGAACAGAAAACAAGCCACATAAATTTCAACAGCAAATGGAAGTGCGTTAAAATTGAAGTTCTTCAAAAACACAACAATCTGAAGGTTGAAAATGGAAAGTGTATCAATTTACGTTTGTTTCTCCCCATTTCAATGCAAATCAGATTCAAAAAGAAGAAGAACCGAAACAAAGACAAAGACAAAGACAAAGGCATCTGCATGCGTCACTGAAAACAATGTCTTTACCCCAAATGCCAGCTCTGGTCCACGCTAGCCTGACACTCATCCTGACACAGATGACGGCAGACACTTTGCGTCAAAGGGGGCATCTGCTTTTTTCTTTCTTATTTTTTTTTTAGACACATTGCATTTACTCATCTCCTTTTTGCTCCCGGCGGGAAGCTTGTTGCGCAAATATATTTGAAAAGAGCTACACCGAGGCCTCCGTGGGTGTCTGTCTGTGAATGATGTGCCACTGTGTGCTTCCCACATTTTGCTATTTGAGATCCGGGCCTCACTACCGACCCAGTGCTGTCCTCCCACGGCTTCCGACCATCCTTCCTCTGTACGCCAGCCTGCAGAGCGAAGAGCCTCATCCGTCGCAGAGTTTGTAGAAATGTTGTTCTTATATGGGCATTCTCGGAAACATGGAAATCCACCTTATGTAAGGGAAGGATCCTGTTTGTGAACCAAACCGAGCCGGAATGATGTGTTAGCGGGAGCGATAAAAATAAATTGGGTCTGTTTTGGCTCTGGCAGCAGAATGCTAATATGCCCAGATTGTTTTTTGTTTTCTTTTTGTGTGTTTTTTTTTTTTTTTTCTCGTGCAGAATTCAGCCTTGACTTGAACAGATTTGGGAATCGATGAAAGCTAAATTAAAGCGGCAGGTATTTATAAACCATTTAAAACGTCAACATCTGACAGAAGAAATATAGTGGTGATGAATGAGGGTGAGCCTCCTCGTCGTCATTTGGGCATTTAAAATGCATGCTAATGTTTAATTCAAAACAATAAGCATAATTTCAAACCCAGTGCCTTGCAAAAATATTCAAATTTCTTGATTTATTTTAGTTATCTCAGTATGGAACCAGCTTTGCTTCTGAAAGCCTCAGAAGTTTGTTACAGAACATTGGTGAGTAAAAAACCCCCAAAAACAACCATTATTACAGCCAGGAAATACAACAGACATGTCATTGAGACAGTTGTGGAAAACGATAGTTGGCTTTCTGTTAGGTTGCAACTGCAAAACATCCTAAACTGAATGGACACAGTGGCTTCGTTTCCATTACAAGCATGTGCAAAACTTTGTTTCAAAGATCCACATTTAGCTAATGAAATGTTCACATAAGTCAATGAAAAACATGCCACGTCGTCGTCCTCCTACCACTTCACGACGTCTCCTTCGCTGCAAAGAAAACAGAGTTTCCTTTGCAGGTTTGTGAAACACACTCATTTTGATATGGCTGAAAACCCACTTTGTACTTAAGGAAAAAATTTCACCAAAAGAAATGTGTTGTTGTTTTGTTTTTGTTTTTTCCAAAATGTCAGTGTTTCCATTTAGCAAATTTATAACCATAAATTCGTAATTTGAATTTCTGTGTACCTTATAGCATAACTTATTTGTACGTTCCATAAAAATCTGGCCTTGATTGACGAATTGGAAGAGGAAAAGCAATTGTTGCAAGAAAGCTAGGGGGAAAAGCAAACATGGACAAATGCACTCTGTTTAGAACAGAGCAAAACTGATGTTTTGTGTGTGAGACACTGTGTGGGGCGTAAAACCAACGCCTCACTTGGTAAAAGTCAGTGGCAGCAAAATGCTGTGGAGTTAACGGAAGGAGCAGGAAATACAATACTTGAAGACCTTTGCTAAAGGTTGCAGACTTGAGATTGGGGTGGAAGTTTGCTTTCCCACCAAGCCTTTTTCACCTAGCTGACTATCTGTTCTTTTATATTAAATAATAAATAGAGTAAGAAGCAAAAGCATCTAAAGCCTGAGTCATCGCGCAGTCCGGCAGACTCACAAAGCGAACAATATTCCAAGAATACACAGAAAGAAAACACAGCTTAGATAGAAGGGAGCAATGCTATGCGACATCTTCAGAGACTTTAATTAATGCAGTATGTTATATGTTGCACATTGTATGTACTGGAGGCTTTGCTGCAGTGTGGGTGTCTGGCGTTTTGCAGGAAAAACGAGCGCCACTCCACACGCGCGTTCAACACCTCCTGCCTTTAGCATTCAGTCTCATTAATTTGATAATGTGAGACTGTTAATGACCTCCTCGGAGCTCTGAGTGTTAATGCATTTCAGTGATTGCTTGGCTGCAGGCAGGAGGCTTTATTTTTTTGTCGCTTAGATGGGGGGGGTGGAGGATGAGTCAACTGCATTGAATCACCGGTTAAGAGAGATGCCTCTACAGTCACTGCTCCTGCAGTAAAATAGACACAGTGATTGGTCGGATACGCTGGGAGCAAAACTAACAAAACAAAACTAAAATAACCAAGGGTTATTTCCTGTCCTGTCTCCTCGAGAAACTGCGGAACATCCGTGTATGAAACGCAACCCTGATCTTGCTAACTGTGAACAGAAGCAGAAAAACATGGCGGTAAATACATTCAGACATGAAGTGAGGGAAGCAATAGGTTAAAAATAGAGCATGCAGCCTCTTACTGACCAGTATTTGACATATTCTGGTAGTTATTGTTGTTTTAACACACTTTAAAGGAAGACAGTTGATAGTACAAGATAATATTTTGAAATTAAATTTGACAAAATTCTTATCTGAAGTTCACATTTGTGTGGTAACATGCAAGTTTGTATTTCTACCCATATTAGAAATTTGCATCGACTTCCTTTAATTTAGTAGCTGTATTTATGCCTAACCCAGATATTTTCCCTAGCCTGAACCATTACTGGTAGGAATGTGTTTGGTTTACATTCTAACCCTAACCCATACTAAAACTTAATTCACAACTTACCTCTAAACCTGACCCCTGACCTTAAACAAGGGGTCCATCACAATAAGACCCAACTTTGGCTGCCAGAAGCGCATTTGGTTTTTAAAAGGTTAGTAAATATGCCATAAATGACACACACACACACACACACACACACGCACACACACACACACACACACACACACACCCTCACACACACACACACACGCACACACACACGTACACACACACACACGCACACACACACGTACACACACACACACACACACACACACACACACCACAGTCGTGTTTTTGTATCTTGTGGGAACTTTACATCAACTTTCATTCGTTTTTTACAGCCTAACCCTGACCATCACATATCTAACCAAAACTCAGTTAACACCTTTGTCCCAACCCCTAACCCAAAAACAGCAATTCCTCTCCTGGGGACCAAGATTTGGAGTTTGGTTCATATAAGTTTGATCAGTCCCCAGAGAGTTAGTAAAATGACATGAAACTTCCTAAATTTGTAAAATAAATGAGTACACACACCTAAAATTGACATTTTAATCACATTAAATATCTTATTTCTTTTTGGATTCACTGGCTCCAGCAGACTTTACATTGAGTCAAAACAAAATCTCATTCCCATTGTAAGCGAACCAGTTTTTTTTTTTTTTTTTTTGTTCCAGATTAATCTAGGTCTTGGTTCACACGTGCAGACCCAGTCAGAGGAGACCCAGCGTGTCGTTGTTCCCTGACACACTTGCAGAACCTTCCAGAGTCATCTGAGCCTGTCCGACAGAAAACTGGCAGCAAAGTCCTTGAGAATGCAAGAACAATTGTTTTTAGCTAAATAAACCTGCTGTTGTTTTATTGTTTTCACTGTAGGTGCAATTAGCATGCACTTTCAGTGTGTTCCATTTCGCTGCTGCATTTGTGTTCTCAAACACTGTTTAGTTTGGCTACAAGCAGAAGGCAAAGAAGATGCAAACGTTTGCACGATCCGGAACCATAAGAGCAGAAAACGTAACGGCGAAGCCAAGGATGACTGAGGATGATGGAGTCAGGAATGCCTGAGAACCCGAGTGGGTCGAAATGACAACGATTTACTGCATCGGTATGAAATAGAGGTTTATGACAAACACTGAGCTCAGCAAAAACAAAGATGTTTCCCCCCAAAAAGAAGAAGCAATGTTTAGCCTGGTTGGGGCACAAGTAAAGCCTGGTGACCCGCCAGGCTTATAATACACTGGGGGAAACCCTGTAACATATTGAAAAATGCACTTTTTGAATTGTACTATTGGTGAGAGTTTGAACTTATACTGTACCATAAATGCGTCTCTATCATGTGCCATGCAAAGACTGCTGCGCTGTTCTATCTGTTGACAAAACAATAATAATTCATAGCACATAATAAAACAGCTGCAGGCCTACATTCATAATGTCTTTTTTAAGAATGAAGTAAAGAACAGTGGATGCAGGCCATCACTGGTGTTTTGATTTGTCTCAGCTGTAAATAGTCACTTTAATTCTCTTTCAATGAAACTGTTAGCTTGAAGTTAGTTGGAGCTTGTGCTGCCAATCCGCCTCTTAAAGCTCATTAATGGACCTTCACTTGACAGACGAGCTGTCCAATGGTTCCGTGGAATCCTCTGGGCAACCAATAGGCTTCGGCTCCGAGCTGCTGCTGCTCGCTGATTGGCGGAAGGAGCTTCTGCCTCCCGAGTGCGGATGCTTCTCCTTTGGCCAAGGTTGCACTTTGCAGCTGCAGCAGGACGCGTACGGTGCGCCGCTTGAGCACGGAGAGCAGCACCGATTATCATCATCATCATCATCATCATCATCATCATCAGCAGCAGCAGCTCTGCTCTTGTTTTAATACCAAAGCGTCATTCCAGGATCTCCATCCTCACGGTGTTTCCGCCATGGACGAGATGGAGGAAGAGTTAAAATGCCCCGTTTGCGGCTCCTTTTACCGGGAGCCCATCATACTGCCTTGCTCCCACAACATTTGCCTGGCGTGTGCGCGGAATATTCTTGTGCAGACCCCCGAAGCGGAGTCCCCGCAGAGCAGCCGAGCCTCCGGGTCCGGCGTCTCGGACTACGACTACTTGGATTTGGATAAAATGAGTTTGTACAGCGAGGCGGACAGCGGGTACGGGTCCTACGGGGGGTTCGTCAGCGCTCCGACCACCCCCTGTCAGAAATCGCCAAACGGAGTCCGGGTTTTCCCCCCGGCCGTCCCGCAGCCCGGTCCGCAGCAGCACCTCCTGCCGCATCCGGCCTCCTTGCCCCCGATCCCCCGCAACTCCTGTATCACCTGTCCGCAGTGTCACCGCAGCCTGATCCTGGACGACCGGGGGCTCCGGGGCTTCCCCAAGAACCGGGTGCTGGAAGGGGTGGTGGACCGGTACCAGCAGAGCAAGGCGGCCGCGCTCAAGTGCCAGCTGTGCGAGAAGAGTCCGAAAGAGGCCACGGTGATGTGCGAGCAGTGCGACGTGTTCTACTGCGACCCGTGCCGCCTGCGGTGCCACCCGCCCCGCGGTCCCCTCGCCAAGCATCGCCTGGTTCCTCCCGCGCAGGGCCGTATCAGTCGCCGCGCGAGCCCGCGCAAGATCTCCACCTGCACGGAGCACGAGCTGGAGAACCTGAGCATGTACTGCGTGCAGTGCAAGATGCCCGTGTGTTACCAGTGTTTGGAAGAGGGGAAGCACGGCACGCACGAAGTCAAGGCTCTGGGCGCGATGTGGAAACTGCACAAGGTACGTGCGTAAAAACACCAACGCGTTCTTTGAAGCGAACAGGAGCAACAGGTCTGTCTTTAAAACAACAACAAAATGGAGGAAACAGATTTTGATATGTGAGATTTTTAAATAAGTTTCTTTCTCTTTAGGGTTTATCTTGAGGGAAAAGAAGGGAATAATTGCTTAGGGGTGACAAACCAGCAGCTGCGAATGTACAAAATACCATATAAGGATGGTTCGGATGAAGTGCCTCTTTGCTCTGGGCGGCAAGATCGAGGGGGCGGCACGAGAAAAGTTTCTTCCAATGTTAGCTTAGCTCCTGTGTAACATGCAAATAATTTAAAGCAAGACACAAAACATATTCTGTCATGCAGTTAAGCTGATTTTATTCTGTGAAGTGAAAGCTATCGAACATGGGCAAAGAGAGTGAGTGTTGGTTTGGAGAGGTGTGTGACACTCTCACCTGGAAGTGGGTTGGAATGCTACTCATGGCGGCTGTGTACAATCTTCAACTGTCTTTTAATAAAAAAAAAATAGATTAAGCTCGGTTGTTTATGAAAGAGTTTAAATGTGATCATCCATTTAAATATGGCGGCTGCAGACGCAAATAGCTTAGAACTTGAGTTAACATTTCAAAGAACATTAAACCTTTAGAATAAGTTTTAACGTCTCCAGCATACACTTTGTTGTTGTTTTCTGAGGATGGACCCCGAAGTGAGAACATCAGTGTAATTTCCTTAAAGAACTATGAGAATTGTAAGACAACTTGTAGCGGTGATAGTGTGGGAAAGGAGAGATGTTTTCAAAACCTTTAGCTATTCAGGCGCAGCCTCTGTTAGGGCCCGGACGATATGGCTCAAATATAAAATCTTCTATTTTTTTTCACATTTTTTATTTTGATATCAAATCAGATTTACGACTAATCAAGTTTTGCCCTCACCTTTTTTCCTTATCGAAAAAATTTACAAATGTGCAAAAAATTATGTATAAAGACTGACATTATTGCTATGATCCCTTCTGTGAGTTGTACATAAATTTATATATATATATATATATATATATATATATATATATATATATATATATATATATATATATATATATATATATATATTATATATATATATATATATATATATATATATATATATATATATATATATATATATAAAGCTCATAAAGTATAAGGTTGGCAGGTCTCCTTGCCATCGCCCTTATCTTGTTTTTGTGAGTGAAGCGCACATGCAGTCCTCTGGCGTAGATAAAGGAGGTTATTTTGGGACCCTCGAGTCGTCGTGGGCATCGGGCTTCGGCCGCCACATTTATCTACGCCTCTGCACCGTCGATCCTTCACCTCCGCCGTCCGCTTTCCAGTGAAGAAAAAAACAACAGAGAGCCAGATTTAGTCCCCGCAGCGCTCCACAAACACTGCAAACTCCCACACACACTCACACACACACACACACACGCACACACACGCACGCACGCACACACACACACACACACACACACACACACACACACACACACACACCACACACACACACACAGCGATGCAGGCAAGCCCAGAAAACGTGAGCAACCGCTCACACAAAAACTCGACACAAATCACTGCTTGTGCTTTCAGGAACGCTGTCCTCGTTATTTACACTTGAAACGGAGTCTTGTACCTCTCCCAAAAAAAAAAAGAAAAGAAAAAGGAAAAAATGGGAACGTTTAACCAGCCTCCATTTTTCTCATCTATTCGAGACGGAGGTGAGATGAGTCCGTCATTTCAGACGAGAGAGTTCAATTTTCAAACTGATGGAAAAGTCAGAGGAGGCTGAGTGTCTGACGACCTCGTGTGCTCTCGTCGTTTCACTGGTCTGAAATAAGAGCAGAGTATTTTAAGAAACTAATCAATGGCAAAAATATTGGGGCCAATAGGCAACCTGGTTTTTTTTGGCCTCCATCAGCAACACCTTGTTATTTCTGATGGAACAGAGTCTGATAGGGAGACAGTTTACCAGATAATTTCATTGTGGCTTTAAGTTTTTTCCCCACAATCCTGATTTGTATCAGAATTTGCATTTTGTTTTATACCACAGCCTGTTTCTCCTGAAAGCGTCATGTTAACATACATATTTTTGACCGCTTGGGGGCGCAGCTGAGACGGAATGTATTATTAAGGAGATAGTGAATTATAACAACATTAAAATAACACAATGACATGAGGGAAAACAGAAGGAAAATGCTGCTGAAATGAACAATTCATGATGCTTTTCGATTAATTGTGTTATACCTCCATAATTCAGCGTTAGGGAGAAATGTATTTGAACATTAACATGCACCGCATACTTAGAAAACATATTTAATGAACCGAGGAGGAAAAATATGAAAGCAAACAAAAAGACTTTTTACTTAGTTTCTATTGGATTAAACTCAAACAGGGAGTCAAATTCACAGCAGAGGTTTTCTCAAGTTGTGATGTTTTGTGAGGAACTTTCATGCATGTTTCTACCCACGTTGATACATTTGTTTGGTTTGAAGTGCAGACGTAGTTTTAAAACACTGGGTCTTAAATCAGGGTTAAATCAACTGCTTTGATGCTGCCACAGTTTTTCCAAGTTCTTTTGGATTATTCATTGATATAAATTGATTCTAGTTGGTGCAACAGGGGAATCTCACAAAAGATCAACCTTTTCTCATTTTATCATGTAGATTGTGTTAATCTGTTGAATATTATGCATATTTATATAAAATGTGGTCTGAGAAGTTGTGGAGTTTGAAATGAGCGCTCTAAACTAACATCCAACCAATCGACCGAGCGACTAACCAACCAATCGACTGACCAACCAATCGACCGACCAACTAACCAACCAACCGACTGACCAACTAACCAACCAAGCGACCGGCCAACCAATCGACTGACCAACCAATCGACTGACCAACCAATCGACTGACCAACTAACCAAACAATCGACCGGCCAACCAACAAAATTGTCCAACCAATCTAGTAACCAACCAATCAACCGACAGACTAACCAATCAATTGACTGATGGACCGACTAACCAACTAACTGACCAATCAACTAACCAACCAATCAACCGACTAACCAACCAATCAACCGTTTGAGCTCAAACTTGATTTTCTAAAATTTATTTAGATTTTAAAAGACTGTAATAAGTGAAGTGACAACTTTTAAGTCCTTTAAAAGTCAGAATAATTATGGATATTGTTTTATCTTAAAAGTTTAGGAGCGCTGTGTATTTTGTCAACCTATCTGTGTACCTAAAAAACTTGATTAATTCGACACTCAGAGGCAATATTGATGCTAAACCCAGAAAGTGTCAGAGAGAAAGTAAAGTTCATCAAAATGCCCTGTCAAGGTTTCTGCCATGTTGTCGTCCTGTAATTACTGCTGTGTAGCGTCCTGCTCTGCATTCACCTCCAGGCTTTATCACATCAAGAAAACCATCACATAGGCGCCTCTATTTTCCTCCTTCACACTTCAACAGATCAAAGCTGCTGTTTGATCTCTGAGCTTTTCTTACTGGGCTGCTGCATTTTTCATCATCATCATCATCGTCATCGTCATTATCACTGGCTAATGTTCGTAGCTTCTTTGAAGTTACGAACTCTGTGTCACATTTCTAGTATTCCATCTTTTTTTGCTTTCTTTCTGAAATGTTTTTATTTTTTTCAGTCCGCATCCTTCACTGTCCTCTCCTTTATCTTTATTGGGTAAGAGATGAACAACCTGCCGCCATGGCAACCAAGTCCTTCTTGATGCTGTACAGAGCAACAGTGGTCTCTAAGATACCGGGAGCCGTGAGGAGTTCATCCCAGTCGCTTTACGATAAAACCTCAGGGATTTATCTCCTTTCTTGCAGTAGATTGATGGCAGCGCGTCTGAAACGTTGCGCAATGCAATGTTCCCAAAGTCGACCTTAGTGGCAGAGCAGCGATTGAAAAATAAGGGTTTTACAGCGTGACTCATCCAGTTTCTGTCTGCCTTTTGTGAGCAGACGGTTGGTGATGTGTGGACAAGATGCCCGCTTTGTTATCGCATCACGGTGAACTGTTTGCGACTCTTTGCTGATGCTGTTAGGGGCCACGCGGGTCGTTAAGTGAGGTCGGGGTCAGACTGTGTTGTTGGGCGCCTCTGTTCTCACCTGTTAGTTACTCCGCTCCGCACTAGATGTCCTAGGAGAGCGGCGTTGACCTGAGCCTCCCCGAGCCTCCTCCGCACACCTGCAAGTACTGTCTCGACCTCCTGATGGTGTTTCTGCAAAAACCATGACATATGTCGCCTCAGAGCCAATCAAAAACAACCAGTCGGGTGGAGATTTGATCACCAGTAGATCTGTGAAGTCGACAGCTTCACCAAAACACAAATTCAGGCTTTCTACGTGGTTTTTATTTTAAAATGACACACTTTCCTTGACTGTCAAAGACAATTTTGGCCAATTTGTGAAGTTTGAATTCAAGGCTTGGCCATTTTTTAAATGGAGAATTGTCAGCAGGATGAACAAGAATTAAAATCTATTTCTACACTACTTAGATTTTCTTCCACACTACTTTGGCCAAATTTTACTGGATGATAAATTGCCGTAGAAATTATTGCGACACGCAATAATAGTGTTGTTTTGAGACAATTTTCAAGTAACGTATTGATAAGGAAAGTTCGCCCTGTCAAAGACTTACAAACTTGAATTTTGTAAAGAACGCACTGGACCTGGAAGACATTGTAGATATCTAAAGTAAAACGCAACCAAACACAAAAAAAATGAAATGGAAATTAAAACAACACGCAATGGAAACCATAGATAAAATGGATGACAAAGTCTCTAAACAAAAATGTCCTTCACACCCAGCTCATTTCAGTTTGCAACGTGATTAATTGATTAACTAATTGATTGATTAGATTAATTACTGCAACAGGCTTATGCAGGAGTCCTGCTTATTCAAAGCGTTCCTGTTTGGTGCCTTTAATGTCAGCATGTGTTTGAGCCTAAGCTGTGCAGCAAGAAAAGCA